AACAGGCAGAACGGTACCAAAGCTGTACCCGGGGCCTCGATGACGACACCATGCTCACCGACTTTGTACGACTCCTCCGGGCTCCCCACGAATGTACACAATTGCTGCGCGCCCGAATTGAATGACAAATGGATTCCCACAGCGCTGGCCAACGCGCGCATCGGCGGACCTCGTGGTGGAACGGGTTGTGGCGGTGGACTTTGACTACCACCCTGTCCTGCAGAGGACTGCAAACCGACATGCATGTGCCCTCGGATCCCGTGCAACTCTCGTGTCGCGAAGGTTGGCATAGGCAGGGCCAGGGCAAGACACAACCGATGCGAAGAAAGTCTCAACCACCTCCGCAATCCGGAAAGCCACTTTACACTTAAAAGACAAGCTAGGCCGACAAAACTTGCAGATGTGAAAAGCAATGTGGGGGCCTTGGCGAATCCTTTACGCAATCCGTCATATTTGATGCAAGTCCAAGTATCAACCACTTGGTCACACGCAAACACCGACACAGACACAGACAGAGACACAAACACAGACGCGCGCGGACACACACACACACACACACACACACACACACACACTCTCTCTCTCTCTCTCTCTCTCTCTCACTCGCACATTCACCTGAGGTCCCTGCCCCAGGCGAAAAGTCGTGCTTGAAGGTCATGAGCTTGAGGAGCAGGTGCACAAATTGAGCTGATTACACTCGGTGCCTCTCTAGCGCTCTGTGAGTGTTCTGTCTTCATCGAGCCGGAGATCATAGCATGTGTCTTTGCGTCATGCGACAGGTAACAGGCATTCCCCACTGATGCCACACCATGTCTATGGATGGGCATCGACTGGAGAAGCGAAGCTAGCAGCTAGCTTAAGAGTGGCTCATGAGGTACGAATTACCATGAGTCCTTCCATGTTCGAGCTGAGATGTCAAGTGGAAGCTGGCTCATGGTGGACTGTACCGGATGCCAACATCATAGAATCCAAACCGCATGGCCGCAGCTGGTCGTGAGATCCGCGTGTAATCCATCGCAATGGGAAACTTTCAAGAATCTACGAGGAAACTTGTGCGATGTAGTGACAGCTCCTACCCACGGCATGTGCTGAACCTATCCGCTCCGAGCGCTTTGCGCCGAAGGATCGGATCGCGAGCCATAGGCATCCCTGGCCTGGCCAAGGGAAGTCAAGGCAGCTGACAGCCTGGCATCGAGGTCGTCGACCTCCGGAACTTGTGGGCTTTGCAGTGTCCGGGCCAATCCTTCTACGTACCGTCTCGGTGGCCACTCATGCCACTCTGTACTTTGGAGCTTTGCGGGATAAACTTGCCCTTGGACTGAGCTATCGAAGACTTGGCGCGTTGTGCCTTACAGTCCTGAGTCCATCCCCAAGAATCCGCAGCTTACAAAAGGAGATCCCACAGAGAGGATCAAGCACGTGCGCCTTTTGTGTCAGAAGATCTGCACCTCAAGGCGGGCACAGGGAGTCTTGAAGTTCGGCTGAAGGCTCTTCACTCTTTGCTGTTGCGACGTGGAAAGAAGCGCTGAAACTGTGCAAACTGAAAAAACCATTGACGAGCCCAAGATCGAGCAGTTTTGTGGAACATTTAATGAGGGTACCTTGCGTCACTGCCCTCCCCAGTTGCTCACCACGTAGCCCCACAAGGCCCAGGAGGTACGTGTGTCAATTGTGGTGTTGCTACGCACCAAACCCCGGCACCCCCAAACCCTCCCGCCCCCCTCTCCAACAACAAAGACCAAGATCCCGACGATCAGGTTGCAAAACCTCTGGTAAAGGACCTGACGCCGCGCATGGGCTCGGAAACATGGCTTTGGTGTCATGTACAGCAAAGTGAACGCATCGTGCAAATTCTTCGTATATATGTACTCTAGATTACTCCAGTGCGTGGGGGCTCTTCCATCCCCGCTTGTTCTTTGTGATATCCGGCCTTATGCCCCCCAAACCAGCTGCCCGGAGCAGGAAGTGAGGCCAAGCCCCCTTCCTGCACCCTGCAAGTTTCCCCGGTGCTGCTTACGGGCCAGGTGTCCAAAGACCCAACATCAGACAGCCCCAAACTGCTGGATTGGCTCCAGTCAGACAGGGCTGTCAAAGATCAGGCTCCACACCAAGCCCCACACACACATGTGAAGATCTATACTCCAGTCTCTCCTCATCAGATCATGCGGCCTCCGGCCAAGAGGCGTCTAGTGCAAGCAGAAAGATTGGGTCTCCTAGCCACCCCCCCCGGCCCCCCCCTGCCCCCCCCGGCCCTGGCCCCCCAGATCGCGTGCCGGAGCTGCAAACCGATGGAGGTTCCCGAATCCAAACGCCTGAAACCTCCCCCTGAAACCTTTTGGACCCTTCCTGGGACCTCGTTGAAGTTGTTGGGGATTTGGTTTGGACCTGCTTTGAAAGGTTTTTGGAATTTCCCGGGCCTTGGGACGTGCGCCGGCCTTGGCTGCCGAGGCGGCGCGCGCAAGCGTTTACAAGTAGTGATGATCAGCCACTATCGGAAATCCGCATCAACTAGCAGGAAGCGTGAAGAAAAAACCGCCCAAAGGAGGGTGTACAGAGCAGAGGAAGATGGAACTGCCTTGCCTGAATGCCCAGGCCGAGGCCTTTCGACGCCAAGCGTCCACAATCTAAACAAATGTTTTCGAAAAGCCCGACATCGCCTGCAGCACCGGAGGTTCTGGCAACAGGAGAGAATTGATCCTGTCCAGATGTGATGCATGTGCCTTCTAAGCCGCAGCGACCAAGTACATATTCTGAACCCATGCAGATCCTTGTTCCTGTGTGGGCAGAAGCTTCGAGAGCCCCAGCGCAGTTCAGATAAGGTAAAGGATGATCTATATAAACTATATTGAAACATTCCAGTTTGGTCACTCTGACATGCATCCTACGCAGTTCTTGCATTCGTTGGAAGATGGGATACGCCAGCGACGCTAAAGCTTGGTCAAAAGAACAGGCTGTGGCTTGTATTAACACGGCGATTGTGGTACGAAGACAACACTTCAAAGTCCACAGACTCAACCCTCACAACCGCGTTCTTTGGGTTGAAGATCCTCTCGCCTTCAGAACTTTTTGTCAGGCCGTTCATTCGGAGATCTGCAAACTCCTTTGTGAAACACTCTAGGAAGTGGGTCTGCAAACGATCTGCAGGCCCAGCCTAACCTAAGTAGTCAGGCACTCTACCAGCCTGTACAGCCCCTGACTGGTTGCAAATGGTTGCAAGCGAAGGCTCTCCTCCAGATGAACTTCGAAGTTCTCACCAATCTTTCAGTCTTTTGAGAACCGCTACTATGGCGCACAACACGGTCGTGTAGACACTTCTTTGTGAAAGTTGCTGCTGAGAGATACTTCGGTTATCAGCCCCTCCTACAAACAAACAGCGAGCAGCCCAGGAGCGAGCTCAACGCTTGTGCCAGTTCAGGCCATTCAATAGCGCATGCATCCTAAGATCTGGCTGCAATGTGTTAGACTCTTAGACCGTACGGGAGCGTATGGGACCCAATGGGACCCAATGGGACCGTGTGCGGAAGTAGGGTTTGGGGACATCCTCGGGCTCGTCGATGCGTTGAGGGCTATGGGCTGCTCGGTTGAGGGACGGCACTGTTGGCCAGCTGCTGTTGCAAATCGAGCTTTGTCCGGCTAACAGCTGGGAGGAGGTGTGGGGTTAGAGCGGGTCATGGCCAACCTTAAGATCCCCGGTGCGATTGCCACGACTTTGGCTCCAAAGACAGGACGCCCAGGCTTTGCAAAGCTTGAACAGCTTGGACTACCCCCCCAACTGCCGGGCGCTGCGCCGGCCCCGCAAGACCACAAACAGCGCGAGACGAGTCTTGAACTCAAGCCTCGGCACTGCCTGAACCACCTTTGGGTTTGGTTCCATCCTTTGCACACAATGGAAAAAGGTAGATGAATGCTCTAGGACGTACGCTTCCTCCCGTGTTGGAGACCTTCCCAACTCCATTACCACTCCGTCGTCGTACATCTACTCCGGCAGTTGGGCACTTTCACCCTGCCGGACAAGAAAATCGTACCTAAACCTAGACCCTCTTCCTGCAGGCGACTGACTCGCATGGTCATGTCAAGATATCTGCCCGAAACCCGGCTATCCCAAGAGGGTCTAGGTATGTCTCATCCAAAATGTCGTTCGCGCTAAAACTCAGCACAATGGGTCCATCTGCCATTACTTAGCTGGTTAAGCACCTCCGGTGGATTCCTGTGGTGCGCTATCCGAACTTTCCCATGCCCCAGCTGAGAGCTCTGCAACAGGCAGCACTAGCTAGGCCGGACCCCCACTAAGACAAATCTACAGCTGGAGCAAATGGTATTTTGAAAATGTACCCATGTTCAAGTAGCCACCAAGAAAAGTCTGCGCAGTCAGGCTGCCTTGGATGTAATAGTCAAGTGGAACGACTGTAACTGTTGTTGCCGACTTGTGACTGCCGATTTTGGAAAAAGGCAGAATTGTCTGACCAGCTCATACCTGGCATACCTGGCATACCTGATCGCTGCAGGCTTAGTGAGTAGCCCCGTGCAGTCTTCGTTCAAGGCTCTACCTCTCGGAAGATTAGTGCAGCTTGGTGTTCTGCTCTCAGCTGATCGTGGAGTGTCTGAGTCTGTCCTGTCGTTGAGCCTCTGGCAGGGACAGCAAACGGGGCGTGTGCCACTCCTTCTATCAGGAACCCTTTAGTTTGGGCACGAACGTCCCTCCAAGCAGTCACGCATTTCGGTCGCACCAACCCGACCCCATCCTTCTTGTTCTTTAGAAGCAAGCCCTCCCCAAGAAGCCACCAGGTGCGAAAACTTGGCAGGGTCTGGAGCAAGGTGATCTAGGACCAAATCTAGGAGCTCTACTCTAGACTCGAGACTCAACACACTCCATGCACGACAAATAATTTTCTTCGGGGGGTCTTGAGGTCAGTGACAATCGATCTTGAGGGGGTCAAGATGAAGGCGAGGAGGCTCATTCACTTAAGGAGAACAGAAGGAAGACGCAAAAGGCGCCTCCGTCAACCAAACAAGCGCTTTGAGTCCCTGGTTGTGGTCGAAGCATCCTGGCGATGGGCAGGGATTCGAGGCTTTGCAAAGCCAAGCCGACGTTCCAACATGGAATTTTCGGGGGAACGCTTGCTAACAAATCCCCATACTGCGAAAATCAAACTCCAAGAGGCTCTCTCAAGCTCTTTCCGGGCCAAAGCGTGGAAAAGCCATTATTGAAGCATCAAACTCATGCACGGTGTGAGCTTCATGATTCGCAGCCTGTCGCCAACCTTTCAGTGTGCTGCTCAGCTCTTCCACGGCAGCTGTAAGCTTGTCCACGCTCCGCGCGATGGCATCCTTGGCTCCATCGGTCTAGGCTTCTGTTACTTCTGTGCGGCTCCGAAGGATCATCTCTGGCGCGGACTCGCAAGGAAAACCCTTGCAGCCCTTGCACCATCACAGCATGGTACAGGCAAGTCGCACTCCGCTCCGTCACGTGGTTCTCCAAGTGCTCAAGCCTGCTCAAGGGTTGACAATACCAGTTGACTTCTCTTGTGGCCTTACATGCTGTATGGTTTAAGATGTTTCTGGCTTCGGGTTTGGTGTTTTAGGATGCCCTTGGGCTATACCATACTTGCAGCCTGTACAGCTGAAAAGATGGAAAGCTCGAGGAATGCTGATTTGTAAATTGGGCGCTGCAGGGAACCGAACCAGGGAACTGCAATCGTCATCTACTTCGGCAATCGCGGCACGATGCAAGGGGCAAGCCAGGGCTATCATCGAAATTGAGTCTCAACTCTTGCGCTTCCCCGGTGCCTGACAAGGAGAAACAACTAGCACTGTCTAGAGTTTCCAATTCTGTGTTGTTGCACCGCCTTCATGGATCAGCCCTTCTGTGACGAAAAGCTTGATGACAGAGGGCGCTCTTTACAGACAGATGTCGTCAGAACAAGTCGCATTTTCCTTCGGGCAAGTGTTGCACCTGCACACCCTCCCAAACAATTGGGGCCCAATGAAACCACGCTTTGGACAGGGGAGTGGCTCAAGTTTTCTGTTGTGCGGTTTTTTTTTTTTTTGTTGGGGGGGGGGGGCCAAAGTCGAACAGACCTTCCATGGGCTTGATTTCGGAACAGTGTCGTGTTCAGGACAGCTTCCAAAACCGAAGCCAGCCATGGCCTGGCTGGCTTGGGTTCAATGGTTAAGCGAAATCGCATCCATTCTGCAAGAACATTGTGGTGCCTTGTGGTGTTTCGGTTATTTGAAAGTTGGGTGGACCTCTTTGCAGCTCCTTGCGAGCACAATTTCACGTTGCCGGCCAGCCTCTTTGTCACTTGAGTTGAGACGCGCTGCAGGCCGTAGTCAAGAGAGACAACATGCTTTGTGTTCAGCGTCTCCTTGGCGAAACGCTTTTGAACCTTAAGCTATGGCATCCAAGCCGTCTATACCCCTTGAAACTCAGAAGCTCAGCTCGGACTGCTCAAACCACCAGAAGCAAGGCGAGCAAGGCACTGCCCTCTTACAGTAATGGCCATGACAACTTTACCACAAAGAGGAGCTCTCGCCGCCCGCGTGAGGCCCACACAGAGCACTGTTTGCTGACAACACCACGCTCCAAAGCATCCCTACATCCGACGGTTTTTTTGTAAAGCTTCAACAAAATATGCCTAGGTCCAGCAACCGTGCGAACCTCGAACTGGGCGGTTCTTGAATCTGCATGGCTCCTGCAGCTGGGACAAGCCCGAGGTGAACTCGTCGATCGACAGCTCGCCGTCTTCGTCCACGTCCAGCATCGAAAACGCCTGTGACTTTAGAGGGTTTAGGGGATGCTTAGGGGTCAAGGAGTCAGTTAGCATGCGCTCGGGTTTTGGGGGATCGGTGATCTAGGAATGAAAGCGGGTGAAGGACTGGCCGCCGCCTCAAAGCGTGCCAACTCAAGACACCCCCAACTCCGAATCCGAATCGATACATTCTGAACCTCAAAGCTCCATGGTGATTGCACTGATCTTTGGTTCCGAAGTTCGGCGCCCCAAAAAGTGGAATGGTTGGGTGTGGGATGGTGTGGGGCTTCTGCACATTCAAGCGCATGCATGGGTGACCAGACAAGGGTGTATGAATGAATGGAAGCAGGTCGGGTTTCGGGCTTGGGTTTCAAGATTTCGTCGGCAGTTCGTGGGCAGTAATTACTTGAGGCCCGCAGGTCGCGTACCAACGGAAACTCAGCTGCGCCTTCTCTAATTCCTGCAGTGGGAGAGTCACACCCAGATCCTCCATTTTTGCGACAACCTGGCGGGTGCTCGCTGATGGCACTTTTGAATCCTGAACTCCGTGGACTCTGTGGACCACGAATGACGTGTCATCCCATAAGGAGCCCTCACGGAAGCCCAAGCATGAAACCCGAAACTCCGAGGTCAAAAATGCTGGGAGGAGGTGCTTAAGTACGCTCAGGTTGCCTGCGTCCTTGCTTGCAGACTTTGAACAGGGGGCGAGATCTTTTAACAGCTGCGCGCATGTCCATGCGGTTCGCCTGCTGATCCTTGATCAGGGTCGCAAACTCCTCATGGTCAAGAACCTGGTTTCCTGAGATTCGTCCATTCGTCGATGACCCAGAGCCAGTTATCCATAGAACGCCTGGTTCCTATTCCGGGCCACAAGGGTCCACTACTGTACGTGACTCTGACTCTACATCATGCCTTGCAACACATCTAATGGAAGTAACACGCACGACGGGACCGGTAGGCCCCGCAGCCTCGCAGAAAAAGGATGACATGACATACTTGTGGCCAAGATGCCGTCTGTGTCGGCATTGACAAAGCACACCTCACAGATGTAAGGTTTCTGACATCTGTGAGTGCAGTAGCAACCTGGAGGAACCTGGAGGAACCTGCAACAACCTGGAGGAACTTGGCCCTCTTTTGCTTCCAACCCTACTGACCGACACCGCAAGGACAGCCCCAGACGCTCCACACACCCTAGAGGCCCTAGCAACCCTGGCATGCTATGGCCATATGCAAGTTGCAGCACAAACAACAAACGAGCTGGGCCCAATCAAGATGCAACATTTGGGTGCGTGGCCATGGCACTGGGACAATACCATCAATCTTCACAGCCAACTACCGATCAACCGCACTCTACACACCACAAAATTGTGCACCGACCTTCAGGAACTCCACGAACTCCTTTCTTCTCCTTTCCTGCGCCTGCGTGAGAGTGCAATGTTGAGAGACATCGTGAGAGAATGCAAGGGTTCTCGCATTGAAGTTGAAGGAGGCTGAGTAAAAATCGCTGTAAGTTAGGGCGTAAGCAAAAGGCTCGAGGTCGTTGATCTTGAAGATCAGTTTTCGGCATCCGATCCGATTTCTGGACTCTTGAACCTTTAGACACACCATAACATCTTTGTTGGGAGTCCCAGATGGTCCCAGATGTTCAGCCTTTCTAGATTCTAGATGCCTTTGCGAACATATTCGAACCCGTCAAAACTAAAGCATCATCAAGATGACAAGGAGGCTGTTGGAAGCTCTCTGTCGAAATACTGCGTGAATGGAAAAGCATCGCTGACCTTCCGAATCCGCTGTCGGAACCGCTCAACAGGCGTTGGTGCTGGAATCATTCAAAGTCTCAAGATCTCCAGCGTGTTCCTTCTATAAACCGCTGCAGCAAGCACCTGTGGGGAACCAGCTGTGGGGAAACAAAAGAAATCAGGTAACGAGAGCGAGTACAGAAGATTGCAAAATGCACCCAGACGTCGGTGCCACTGGGCGAGACAGGAAGGCAGGGTTGATTCAGGTGCCTCATGGTGCCTCAACTCACTGAAATTCGCTCTGGGGGAATCATCCGGGCAGGAGCTCCTACGAAAGCTGCTACATAAGGTCCAAGACCCAACAACCTGCAAAGAAAAAACAAGCAATGCCACCAATGTGTGGGTGCGAAAGTCGTCAGGACCTCCTTCTGCTTCTCCTTGCGGTCTTGCGTGGCCTGGCCCCAAGCTGGCAGACCTACACTGGCCTACAACTTTGACATCGCACGCAGCGACTATCGAGCCGCATGGTGCCCTCATGGAGCATCCAGGGACACTTGGCCATATCAGCTTCGGGGTTTCTAGGGTTCAAGGATGCAAGTCTCGGCACATCGTTTTGCCAAAGTTTTGTCCCTTTGCTCTTGTCGTGTCTGCCTGAATGACATTGTCTGACACCACGGCAGTCACCAAGGAGATCATAGTCCATGCCTCACAGGAACTCCGCTCGGCTTCTGGCAGCACACTCTACAGCCTCTACTGTGACTCTACAGCCCATCCACAAGTCCAGAACGTCCGTGTTGAGCCCAAGGGCAGAGAAGGCGATGAAGATCACAAAAAACACTCGCCACCAGTCACCTCAGAGGCGAATACATTGTCAATAGTGAAAAGTACTGTTCACTGTTCCCCAGCTATACTGAAGATTAAGCTGAGATTGCAAAATGTTACGCTGTGTTGACTTTACCCGCATTCTAAGCACAAGGCCAGCTCTACGGTCTCAGAAGCTGCAAGACTTTCAAGAGTAATGGAGGACAAGGGCCTCTGCTTCATGTCCGTGGCTGCAGGGGCAGGAAGTACTGTGTATAAACTGTGTCTACATTGAATAATGCATGCATTACATGTTCGGTCTGAAGCCCTGAAGCTATCTTGGCCAGCAGGCTGTGCTCAACGAGCGGAGCAGCAATATCCGGCCACGAGTCCATCGTCGTGACCTGACGGGCGCAACCGGCTTCAATCCGCTTCATGAAGCTTCCTAAGCAAACCTTATTCAGTTCGACTTCTGTGAAGACGTTGCGCTGAACCACCTACTGAACTAAGGACCTACCCCCAAAACTGAGTCTGTCCTATGAGTACAACAAAGACTATCGAGCGACGCCTCTGCCATTGCATGGTCCAGTCATGGAAAGCTGCCAAAATCTCCGTACAGCCCTTTGAAGCAAACTTCGCGATCTCTTCTTCAAGGTTCCATCCAAGGCGCGAGAGCCCGAACTACTTCTACTCCATTTGGCCATTGTTTTAGTAAAATGATCAAGCCCCTCACCATACAGGATCTGCCTGTTCTGGAACCTGCAAGCGGTCCGTACCTAGCACCGTCCACCTCGCAACACGAACTTCGAAACTTAAGGTGGGGGCTTGGAACAGTCCCAGCGCGCCTGGAAAAGGGTGAACATGGATTTCAGGATACTCTCGAAGTATTCTTCGTTGTTTCCTGCGGCTCCACGCACGAAAGCAGCTTGGGCCCCAATTCCCCAACCATCCACACCTGAAACAGAAAAACACCCTGGCAGGTGTTCAGGAGAGCAGGGAAACAAGTGTTGGGATTTCAGCTGAATTTCAAGAACTGCTTCCGTCCATGATTGCATAGGTTGGAGTGTAATTTCGCAGAGCGTGTTGCCTACTACACTCTTGAGAAGGCTCAGTCCCTTAACCCCCATCCCCTGCAACCGGGCCTGCAAGAAACAGACGGTTCTTGGCGTAGTGCCTCAAGTCTCCAGGCCACCGTCGAAGAGTGGGGATTCGGTTCGGTTTGGGGGATACCGAAGCTCTGAAGATTGCCGCAATGACCTGCGTCGAAAGCCCGTTTTACGGGATCCCTTGTATGTCATGTGGTCCGTAACTCCTGATCTGCACGCTGCAAAATAGCTGCCCATTGGTCTTCTTTAGTTTGGCATATTTCCGACCGAGCTGACCTAATACCGACAGTGCCGAATAATTCCTTAGGCTATTTGGGTCCTACGTCATCCGAAGAATGGAAACAGGCTCACCCCGGTCTAGCAGAGCAGATCACCTGAGATATGCGTGGCCCACGTTTCAGGGAGACTAGAGGCGGCATGAGGCTCCGAGGCATCTGAGGGCAGGGCGTAAGAAACACCGCCACCAAGTAGACGGTGAACGTCAGCACGCCTTTGCGGCAAGCAGTCCAAACATGCCAGCATGCACCAGCCATTCAGATGTCCTTCTAATGATAATCCAACAGCAGGCCAGTAAGCCGAAACCCCGAGCGGATTAAATCGGACCGTGGGCCCCAGCAACCGCAACAGCTGCGTGAGGAACTTGCTTCCGCGAGTAAGTTTGAAAAATATGCACGGGAACGTGCCTGTTGTTTCAGCTTACAAAACTGATATGACTTTTCGCAAGAGCACAGACTCAAAAAGGCAGGCCAAGAAATTGCTGTCGACGCACAGCTCCCGCTGAGCTCGCGTCAAACGTCGCAGACGGAGACCCGCGTGTGGAGGGACTTTCGAGCGGAAGTGGGGGGTTGGGAATCCAGGTTCCGGAACACCCAAGCACAAAGTCATCTGCCCTTTATAATGATTGTGTCATAGTGAGTATACTGCTTGCTATAGTAGCCCGTGTTGCTGCAGAAATTGACGTGCATGCAGTACATGCACAACAGGTCTCTTCCATGGGAGCTTCCGCGGAGATGTGCTTAAGCCGTTCCACATGCTTCCACGGGCACACGTCACCGTGGAGTTTCGTGCCTCCGTGCCCCCGTTACCGGCCTGATTTCCATATTTGACTGACATTGATGAACCGAGAAAAACACTCTGCTTCTGCTGAATTGTGAAAATGACAAGGACAGGTCGCGGACTTTTGAAGGAAACCAGAGACAACTACCCACAATCAATGTAATGTTAACGCCAAGCCGAGTCAAGCCTAAGGCCTTTAGATCAGACCTCAGGCATCTCAAGATGCACCCGCAGATCACGACACTCAAGCTACGACTCTCAAAATTCATGAGCAACCTCTGACAAACTGTGATGCAAGGGACCGAAAATCCACAGCAGGGTGGAGAGCATCTCCGAGAGGGCTGTGGCAAAGCGGTGAAGCGAGTCCTCACACAGGCATGATTCTGCTGTCACAGCTAAGCACTCCGGATGAAGGAGGTTTACTCCTGCTAGCCGCCGCACAACCCCACTCTCAATGCTGACATCTAAGGTAGGAGCTGAGCGCATTCTGTGTGGGCTTGTCTGGCTTGATAGAACATGGTCGCAGCACAGAAATTCTTCTTCTTTCTCTGCAAGAACAAACGCCATCGCCGTGACTAAGCTTGCTGTACAGGTCATACTGCACTTCTCTTCTTGAAGCCTTGAAAGATTTGTGGCAGTTCAGGCCCCATGCCAAAACACAAACAAGCAGCTTAAACCATCAGCGCAAAAAAGAGCCAAGGTTCGAAGAGGAAGAACACCCGTAGACCTCTGACCAAGCGGGTGTACAACATCCACCTCGGATCAACTTCTGGGATGGTCGGCCGGAACGTTAAATCGTGGGCTTGTGCCGATGTGGTGTGGGAGTTTGTTGTTTACATCTGTTTGCACTGTCTCTCTTCCGGCTTGCGGATTAGGCCTTTACCGTGCCTGTGCGGGGCCGCTGGCCCAACAGGCGCTCGCTGAGGCCACTTCTTGTGAGTACCAAGGCGTCGTCTGCTCTGCAGGGAGTCAAAGAAAAAGACGGAGGAGAGGTGGCTTCTGGCTATCTGGTTTTGCCGAGGGGCGCAGGCATCGAATCCGGAACACACCTCAGTCTCCAGATGCTGCCTGTGTTCCGAGAGTTCTTGTCCGTCTTTGAGTGAGCGCGTGCTGGGCATGTACACAGGCGAAAACGCAAAAGTCTAGATACACAGCAAGAAATCGGATAATGAACACATGCATGGACAAACATCGTACCTTTTTTTTTGTGGCTATTGGTTAGTTTGATGTGTCTGGTGTTGTACTGTGGCTAGCACAACATTGCCATCCTCTCGCGTTCCTTATGAAAAGGCAAGAATCCTTCGTAGAGACCCCCCTCTGTACTGGAGCAAAAGAAGAATTGCTTGACAGAAAATACTAAAATAACCATAGCCATAACCGTCGAAACTCCACGACCTCCGTTTGCCCTTTTAACCATGGGGGGTTTGAGATTGGTTGTTCAGAAGTCTCGCGGCAGTAGCAGTTGGTGTTGGGGAGTAGAGGGCGTCGGATTGTAGACCTACAGAGCTCAAGATCTGCCAAGGAGCAAAATGTAGATAAGGTTGCCAAGGCTGAGAAGCACCTTGCGCACAAAGGTCTGCGCATGTTGACCGCTGCAAAATGCCAATGCTTGCGCTGATACCCTGAAAAACAGGAGCACATCATCGCGGACTTCTCCTTTCAACCCTCCGGATCCGGATCTTTCAGCTAAAGGAAACCAGGCCACCAATCCGCAATCTGTGATGACGACGAACGAAGCCTGGCAAGCACATGAGCGATCATGTGGTCGTCGTAAACCAGTTGGGTCACACACACACACACACTGAGCGTTTCCGTGTCTGGAAATTCTCCATCAACATCACTGCCGCAAAGCAGCTATAGCCACTAATCCGTCCCCATGGCAGAGGTTGAGGACGTTTGGAAAGTACTTGACAACAAGCAAAGCGGTTCCAAGCTACAGCTTCTGATTGCCGGCCTCCCAGGATACTGCTTGCGCAAGAGCCGTGGGGCCCATGTGGTATATCCGCACGGAAAGCTCGTAACCTGCAGCTTGCAGTCTGGAAGAAGTTCTTGAGTGAAAGAAACACAAGGGCACTTTCTGTTTCACACTGCTTCTCATGCTTCTCCCAACATGCCCTAAGAGCCCAAAACCCTTGCACCATGCGTTGGCAATTGGAGGATGTATTGGGCTGAGGTTCCTTCTACGGTGTCAAGCTTCCAAGGCCCGAGCCTTAGCCTGAGCCTAAGTCGAAGTACCCTTAGCACAGCAAAGCACAGCAGGTCTGCAGGGCTCAGCTGGGTGGCAGTAGAAGAGGACGAAAAGCACCTCGGAACTTCGCCAACAGTGACACTTGATTCCGTCCGTCTCCAAGCCGAGCATGAGCATGTTCAGAAACACCTCAGAGTCACTCAGAGACTCACGGCTCTGCATCGACTACTTGTGCATCAGGTCTTTAGGGCTGTTGAGGTCCAAGCCGTATCTGGAATCTAAGTGAAGTCGCCGCATGGATCGTGTCTACTGAAACGAACTCCACGATGGAAGTTGGAATTGTCAAGGCTCTGTTGCAATTCGATTCGTGTCGTTTGTCGAAGCTGCAGTCACGCAATTCAGAGAGAGAATTCGAAGTCCCCTTGTGAAAACCAGCGCTTGCTGGCACCACCGGAAGGTCAAGGGACGATGCATCCCACAACGTTGTTCTGCAACACGTAGGAGTCCTGGCTTCGGATGTGAGCCAGTTGCGGCAGAGTGTTCAAGTAGGAAAACTAGCACGCACAGGCCGGAGCAGCTACATCCTGACTCAACGTGCACATGAAACAAGCATGCGAACGATGTCATTGAAGTCAACAGCCCAGAAGATCGAATGCCAAAGCCCTACGGCACAAGAGTCGAAACATCTTGTGCCGCAGGTTCACCTCTGCCTCTGACTACTGGACGTAATTCGACCAGTGCCAGATAAAGACGTCAAGACATGCCCGCGGATGCTGAGCGCGGAATGAAGAAAGCCTAATCACGTGCACTTGTTGGCCTCGACGGGTCCGCAGCCCTAGAACCCGCCAGAACATTGAGCCCCGGAACTCTGAAGCCACATGGAAAATGCCACATAAACAACGTCCGGTGCCTCCTTGAATAAGTAGTTTCGGCAGGCTCGTGGTCGATCCGAGGGGAGGCCAACAACGAAGTCCTGCAAGCGATGGTAGAGGCTGCTCCAAATCTATGTAGGGGGCCTGTCACATTGAGCAGTCTTGTGCGGTGAAGATAACGTCTATGTTGAAGAACATGAATGAATGACATCTCACCCTGTCAACTGAGCCTCGAGCTGAGATGCACGACTATTGCTGAACTACCTTTCTTCTGCTTCTATTGCAAACTGGTTTTGGCCGTAGTTCAGCAGTTGTCGAAGGAAGCACCTTGTTCACCTAGCTGGAGTGCGCAGCGTCAGCCCTTGACCCAAACCAACCTGGACCCTTTATGCCCTCACCTCCGCGGCTTCCTCATCGCGACTCAGCAGAGCAGAGTATGCCTCCTCACACGAGTGCTGCGATGAGCAGTGAAGGGCTTCGGAAGTTACTACTAACATGGTTCGCAGAGTCCATGTACTTGTCAACGTAAGGGCTTCGGGTCTCGAGTCTGGTCTGGCATGCAAGTCTCAGGCTATTTCAAACGCCGTCTAGGGTTTGAGAGTTTGGGGTCTAGACAAAACACCGGAATATTCCTTTACCCGCAATTGGTGCAGCGCAGCACATGCACGGGCTTGCGAGTCTAAGCCTGAAACCATCTAACATGGCAACAAGACAAACCTCAGTCCTGGTTGCTTAGCGCACGCTTCGCAGAGCCTGTGCCTGCAGGGATAAACGCTTAATCTGAATCTTGAAAGTTTCTTCTAGCAAAAACTATGTCCGGAGGCTCCAACCCAAAAAGAATCAAGCTACTTAGATCCCCGGTAGGTGCCAATTAGGGAGACTGAAGCCACATAATTGAGAATCTCATCCCTCAGCAGCCTCTAGCCTCTGCCACGTGGCCACGATAATGAACATTTCTCTCGGGTGAAGCTATTTCTGGAAACTGCAATAGCTCGTATGAGCTTGCGGACAACAGATTCCAGGTCTCTAGCAGAGATGTGCTACAGATCTGGCACATTCAACATTTAGAGTCGAACAGAACGAAGGAGCTCCGAATCCACATGGCTGAATTCTTCCCGAACAAGATTACTGACAATCCTATGCGGACTTTCCTTCCCTATGATGGTTTTGAGACGCCTTTGTTCTTCTGTCAAGTTTGGCAACTCTTGCGCCGAGCGTCTGCCTGAAAGTGGCGTTAACTCCTCCTGCGACTCTAGTGTGGCGGTAGCCAGCAGCACCCGAGAGTCGATACTCGGCTGCGGTTGTCCTGGAGCTTCCGAAAGCTGAGAGCATACCCCAAGCATACCCCCACTGTACCAGATGAAAACCAGACCCTATACAGCCGATACATGGACATTCTACTGATGCTTGAAAACCACACCCTCTTCGAAGTCAGGAGACCGGTTCATGCACAAATGGCACGCGCTCCCTTGACTCTATATCCTATATCGGTCTACACCTTTCATCTCGCAGCACATGAGATGCGCCTACGGTCATGTCAATGTACATGAGCGGGTCAGTCTCTGTCACATAGCTGGGCTTCAGAAACCACATTCCAGGAAAGCCGACCAACAAAAACATAAGACGGTCAAGTAGCCACAAAGAACCGACGAAGCCCCCTTAACCCCACCTCGAACACAGTTCCCTAGCATTGGCCAAAGCTGGCTTGCCCACGTGCAAGGCCCTTGTGATCATACAACTCTCCTGCCGATTCTTTGGGGCTTAACTCGCGCTCCAGTTGTGGCCCTCATGATGGCCCAGCTGCGGAGGCATGTTTATGAGCAGGGGTGGGTGTCTTGAGAGTTTCCAAGCACATCCACAGTCGCTACTCAACACCCCCCAGACGGTGTAAGTGCAATCAAAAGCATGTGCTTTCAAAGTCAAGACTGACAAGAGGAGAAGGCACCACAAGCCTAAGCGCAAGTGAAGACCAAGAACTGTGCAACCTAAAGCCAGTCTGAAGACTCTGCCAAAATGTTACAGCCAAACTCCCCGCAGCCGTGCCTGGGCGGCTCATTGCGGCACCCAGGGCCCGAAGCTTCTAAGACAAACCCAACGAGCCAATGGCCGCGACCGCACAGGGCTTAAAGCAGTTGCGAAGCGAGAGCTTCGTGTGCAGCCTAGGACCTAGCATGACCTAGGACCTAGGAACTTCCGGGGTCTCTAAGGCCTAGCTTTGCCATGCTTCACGGATACCGAGCTAGAAGCGCTCTGTCGACCTGATACTCATAACACAGTCTCGATCAGACTCCATCAACACGGCCACAACAACAGCTTGCGACATCCAGCACCTGAACCTGCCGTGAAGCTTCGACAAAAGGAGTCAGTCCCAGCCTGAACGCCTTGGAGCTCCTTTGGCAAGAGCTGCTTTAGCTTCTGTCGGAGAGAACCCATGGTTGCACCTGGCACTGCGAGGCTCCAGCTTGGACGTGGTTTTGGGTGTGGTTTGGGGTGTGTTGAGCGGCCTGTTTGGAACGCTCAGAGAGGCTTTTGACGCCTGAGAGGCTTTTTGTAAACGTCTGGGTCGAATGGGTGTCCCAAAAAAACCTTCCGCGAGCGAAGTGCGCACTCACCAGGATGTTCAATCATACGTAATATGGTAGCAGTGAAGGTTGCTGACGATGTGTCGCGTTCTTGTTGCGGAATCTGTGCAACGATATGCTAGTCGTCGCACGATCTGCGAAGCCCGGCCCTCCGATGCCTCCCTCCCAATCTCCCAGAGGACGAGCGCGACCGAATCTCCGCGTGGAGAACTTTCTACCCTAAGCAGCTCTAATCTCTGCAGTCACTTCATCAAAACTCATGGTAGCAGCCAGTGCACCTGTAGCAGCGCTGGCCGGAGTCTCCTAAGGTGAAACATCTTGCCACCGGTCAAAAAACAATAACAGGCTTCGAATCAGGAAAACAACAATCGAGTTCGGGAGTTCTGCAGGCTGGAGGTGAGCATGGGGCATTTCAGAGCTGCGCCAAGTAGCTCACAACTTTACTTGCCAAGTCCTCTTGTTTCTGCGGTTGCAATTGGCCATTGAATTGACGGCTGTGCTGGGCAGTTCGCAGATATCGCCCCGACATTCTCTGTGATTCTCGGTTGCTATACTGGTGATTCCAGTGAGTTTCATTCCAGCGGGCACAGCGGGACATGTCAGCTAATGAAACTCAGCTACAAGGCCCACGGCCAAGAGGTGCACGAAGCTTCGGGCAAGCCCAAAACTTGACGCCCACTGCGACAGATGCTGAGCGAGCTTGATCATGTGAAATATTTCTGACAAGTCTCCACACGCGACGAGGCAGCGCTCGACGTCCTCAGGTGGCGGTGTGACTGGACAGCCATGGACAATCATGGACATGCCTGGACGCATGGACGCATGGACAACGAGGCCACAGGTGACAAGGCCAAGCAGGCGTGCTGCCTCGTGTCTTGAAGTCAGAGTGCAGAGCATGCACAGACTGTCTCTTCATACAAAAATAGTATAAATGCCACAAATACCCGCCAACATGAGAGCGTCTGTGGCCACTGAACATTGGTTATGTGCCTTCCTCACGAAAAGGTGTCAGACGAAGGTGATCCTCACAAACACCTGTAAGTAATAAATTGTAGGCAAACTCGAAACGGAGCTGAGGCGCAGGTCAGGCTGCATCTCGGATTTTCTTGCCTGGCTGGGTTTGGATAAGTCAGTCATGCTAGGGATCGAGGTTAGTTGACGAACAAGAGGACTTGGCCATCTACAGGCTGGAAGCCTTGCCTCCGATTGATCTTGCATCACAGGCTGTGGGGCGTGACTCGCTAGTTGAGGCGGCAGCCCTCACATAAAGACACCGTGCATACAAGTGCCCGGCCTTGGCATGCATGCCAAGTCCTGCGGCAGCGTCGCCTGGAGGCGGCACCTCCGCATCTATGACATGTGGGACTTTTCAAACCAAGGTGCACAGTGTTCTGATTCAAGAATGCTGCTTTTCGACTCGGTTGCATCCCTTTTCGATGATATGCGGGTGATGTTATGTGTCCAAACACTGCCGCAAATGCGGCGAAGCTACGATTAGATGGAAGCTTCTGATTGAAATCCAGGAGTTGAGAACTAGTTCGAAGGAGTTGGAAGAGCAGTGGGCCTTATTGGGCCAGATGCAAGCCGACGCACAACGAAAGCTTTCCAATCACAACAAAGAAGATCAAAAGGGAGGGCTTCGGCCCGGTCAGAGAAGCGGTCCAGCGTAGAGGTGTGCCAGCACAAGCATTAACAATGATAGCTCAGGAAGAAAGCGTATATA